CTGCAATCATCAACACCTGAGCCAGAGTCAGGACAGCAAACGTCTTGGCATCTGGCCACTCACCTAGTCCAGATCTCTGGTTTATATAGGTCTCCTACAGAGTGGGACCTCACGAGCCTTGCTAGGCCCTGCAACTTTAGGATGGAGCTGATGTCATTTGCAGAATCAGCTCTCTGGAAAGAGGTGTTTTTGCGGAGGTATGAAGCGTGGGTCAGACAACATCCACCAGAGAGGTCTGTGTGTCTCTTCTCACTGAGGCATTCTTACTGTCTGAGCTGGAGTGATGCTCACAGGGTCCCGTCTCCCGAGCACTCGCTGTGTCCTGGGTTCTGGAGTCCAGAGGGTATGCAGCAGACAGATGGCAAGACTGAAATGAAGTGATCTAGGTCTTCCACTGGGAAGGTGGCATGGGGCCGCAGTCTGTCTGACCGAGTGTCTCCCTCGGGGATGGAACAAAAAAACTAACCAGGTGGGTCAGGTGTTAGAGATCAACAGGAGGCTTGAATGTCCTTGCATGTAGATAGTATGTTTGCCTGACACCACCAGGCCAATGACAATGCCACCCTGTACAAGCCCTTTCTCACCTCACTGTGATCTCCATGGATGGCCCAAGTAGCTGACAGTAGTGCTGTGGGACTCGCGTTTTTCTTGCTGATTCTAAATATTTTTGCAGGCAACTGACTAGCCTCAGCCTCCAAGTGCCACTGTCCTTCCCAGGTTGAAGCTGAGCCCGGGGGCTTTTCTCTGTCTTTACTCTTAACTCCAAGCAGACGGTAGCTCTTTGAGTCCAGGCTGCTTAGTGAGTGCTTGCTGTATACAGATTGCTTGCTGCGTACAGCCTACGAGCTCGGCTCTCTAAATAAACCTGGCTGTGTGTCAGAGCACAGTGGGGCATACCCTCTTAATGCAAATGACTCCCAGGGTGTTGAGGTGGGCAGACCAAGGTCCTCCGCTGTGGCCAGCATCTTAATGGCTCCTGCCACTGTTGGTCACTTCCCTGGAACCTCAGGTACTTTTAAATTCCGGAAAATGTGGATCTTGTGGGGTTTGTGGTAGAGGAAATGACACCCCCAGTGAGAGTTCCCCTGGCACCCCCTGGGCTGGGCTGGGCTAGTAGGCCCTGCTGTGGTTTGTCTCAGAAAGTGGCCATTTAGTGTTTCAGTGATTGCCCTGACTTTCAGAAAAAGTGAGAGCTGCTCCATTTCCCTGTGACAGGAGCCCTCCGTGCAGGGCGTGAGAGAGCGCTGCTCTGGGAGAGTGAGTTCACAGGAGACAGCAGCTCCAGGACCCCAGAGCTGCGAACAGTCACAGCGCACCAGGGGTTTGATCCTCAGCTTAGGCCTCCCTGGCAGTATGAGCTGTGGTCTGGGTATAATGAGGGGTTACTGTAGGTTCTCCACAGTCCCACCCATGGCCTGCTTGGGATATTTAGCCCAGATCCCCACAGCTTTTATAAAGAGATGAGACTGGGGCACAGCTCGGTGGCAGAGCGCAGAGTGAATGCAGCTGGGAGGTCCATGCCACGCTGCGAAGGTTTTTTGACTTTTGTTTGTTTTGAGGGGATTTCTCTGTGTAGCTGTCCTGGAACTTGCCGTGTAGACCAGGCTGGCCTCGAACTCAGAGATCCACCTGCCTCTGCCTCTGCCTCCTGAATGCTAGGAGTAAAGGAGCACACCATCATTTTTTTTTAAACCCACAGTGTGCTGGGCTCCTGGGCTCTAGGGGTGATCAGAGATGCAGACTAGACCTGGCTCTGCAGAACACATACAAAAGGAAGGGAGGCAGAGAAGCTGGAAGGACTGAGATCAATTTGGGCAAGGGCCGAGAGGCTTCCTGGAGGAAGGGATGTGGAAACCTAGCCTAGGCCCAAGGATTCTTGGCAAGAGGTTTACTGGCACAAATATGAGTGAGTAGCTAGACAGGGCGGACACGCAGAACCGGAGACCCACAGGCTGGCTCAGGCCGAGACCAGGGTGGTACTTCCCTGCATTAGCTGGTCACAGCCGAAATCCTGTGTAAAACAGCTGTGTCACCGATCATCCCCAGAAGTCCAGCGTGAAGCCACACTGGAATGGATGGTCATTACCGACACTGTTGTTAACACTAGGGGCCTCGCCTCTTCCATTGGTGTGGAAAAGGGTAGTTTTGAGTTCACACAGCTATCTGGTGGGTAGGCCTGCCTCTGGTCAACCCTACGAAGCTATGGTTGGCAAGCCATTTGCTATGGAGAGTGGGAGGGAGGGGAGAGGGAAGGAGAGGGGTGAGATCCTAAGGATAGGACCCTGGTGTTTCCGTCCTACTTCCATCTCCAGCCATTTATGCACACGTGCCACATCCAGGTGCAGTTCTCAGCAGGAGGGGTCAGAAGTCAGTGAGAGGCGCAGGCCCTGCCTCCATGCAGAGTAGGGGCACCTAATGTGTTACTTGTGGGGATTCCATTTCCTTGTTCAGGATGAGCTAGTTCCTTGGGGGTTTAGAGGAGTGAAGTAAGACTCAGAGAAAGGAATGAACTTCCTCAAGGTTACCAACCAGTAAGTGGCAGATTTGAGCTGGGACCTGTTCATCTTGGAGACGCGTATTCGGCTGCTAGGTGAGGGAACCAGGAAAGTTGTAGGGTATGGTAGGGGATGTGCGGACAAGCTAGGGATGGTTTGGGGCTCTAAGTTTCAAGTTTGCCTCTGTTTATACTGTAAAGAATGAATCCGAGCCTAAGGGAAGGATGGGTGTGTCCCTACTTAGGTCTGCACAGTAAAAGTGCCATCTGTGCAATGACATTTGTGAACTTTGTCCTGAAAATCTTTTCAGGATCTTAGGTTTCCTGGTAGAATAGCAAATAGACTGAGGGTTGGGTGACTAATCAACAAAGAGTGTGATTAGTACTGTCTGTCCTGGGCATCAGAACAGGGTGCAGGGATATCCTGGGCTCAGTGAGGAGTGTGATTAATACTGTCTGCCCTGGGCATCAGAACAGGGTGCAGGAATGTCCTGGGCTTAGTGAGGAATGTGATTAGTACTGTCTGTCCTGGGCATCAGAACAGGGTGCAGGATTGTACTGGGCTCAGTGAGGAATGTGATTAGTACTGTCTGCCCTGGGCATCAGAACAGGGTGCAGGGGTGTCCTGGGCTCACCTGTACAAGCACTTTCACCAAACATCCTAACCATATACCTGAGTGCATTATTTTGACTCTGTTTTCCCACACCAATGATTCCTGTTACTACTAACATTCCTGACACTGGTTGGCATGATTTGGGACCTTGTGAGAGGGCAAGTGACTCTTGGATGGGCTGAGGAGAGGGTCTTTTTTGGGGCTATTGGTGGAGCCAAACTATATTTTTTTTAAAAAAAAATTAGTCTTATGTATTGCGCATGTGTGTGTATGTGTTCTTGTGGGCACATGCATGTGGAAGAGTTGATGTCAGATATTTTCCTCGGTTGTTCTCTAACTTTAAAAAAAAATTCTTTTTGCCGGGCGGTGGTGGCACACACCTTTAATCCCAGCATTCGAGAGGCAGAGGCAGGCGGATCTCTGTGAGTTCGAGACCAGCCTGGTCTACAAGAGCTAGATCCAGCACAGGCTCCAAAGCAACAGAGAAACCCTGTCTCAAAAAAACAAAACAAAACAAAAAGTTCTCTGTAGGGTCTGTGTATGTGTGTTTGTGTGTGTGTGCATGCACGTGTGTGTGTGTGTGTGTGTTTGTGTGTGCGCACGCACACGTACTCCATAGCACACATGGGACAGTCGAAGGACAAGCTGTTTCCTTCTTCCTTCATGTGGGATTCAGAGGTAAAACTCAAGGTTAGTTTATCAGTCTTGGTAACAGAAGTGCTTTGACCCTCTGAGCCATCTGGTCGACCAATATTTACAGTTTTTTGGGTGCATGTTAACTAGATAAAAATGTCATCCAGCTCTTGAGAAACACATTGGGATCTTTATGGTGATGGGAAAAGGGATACATTACTTAGACAGCCAAACTCTTTGGGCCTGAGTGTGTCTAAGTGACAGGGTCTGGTGTTTAGATGGTGCTTGCCTTTGGGGGGAGGGACACTGAGAGTTGCAATAAGGTTAGAATCTGGTCTTAGATATTCTCATGGATGCCACTGGCTTAGCCAAACCAGGTAGCTGCCCTCCTTGATTTTCTTGGAGGGCGGTGGCATGCTCCCTTCTGTTTGAGCCTGCTGGGTAGCCTCAGCTGGAAGAGCCTCCTTTCAAGCTTTTCCGAGCTGTGCCTTCCTTTTGTGTCTTGCCTCTGCCCTTATGTCCCTCAGTGCTGCTCTGAGCTCTCTGCTTGACCTGGGTCAGTCCGTCCTTGTTCAGGCTTATCTTCCATGAGGTTTTTTTTGTTGTTGTTGAAAGTTTTGGACATTCTTCCCCTGGGTCTGGAATTTGCCAACATCTTGGGGGTGTGTATCCCCGATAGCTGTGCTTTCTGTGCAGTGATGAGCTGACTGCTTGTCCCTTCAACTCTCTGAGGGAGCATTCTTTTTATCATCTGTGTGCATGTGTGTGTGCGTGTGCGTGTGTGTGTGTATGTGTGTATGTGTGCATGTGCGTGTCTCACAGGGGGAGGATAAGTGACTTGTCCAGCATCACAGAGCCAGGGGAAGGAAACCTTCTGCCCCAACCCAGGCTGTCTGAATCACAGCTGGAAGCTTGCTTATCATCGCAAGCCTCCCCCTTTCCTTGTTATCAGTTAGCTGTATTTGAGCCCCAAGCAGGAAGGCTGGCTTCTGTTTAACTGGCCGCTGTTGTGAATACTGTTGAGGAGCTGGTCTTGAAGGCAGTGTGGTTGGCCTGCCTCAGTGAAGGAGGGGACTCCATACTTGGGACCAGACCATCTTAACTCCTCTCCCCCTGTGTAGCCTTTCTTCACCATGAATGACAGCGAGGGTTTCCCCGCCCCCTGCTGGCTCCTGCCTGAGCTCTTTCAGAGGGCACATGGCTGCCACATGCCTGTGCCACCCATAAAGGTAACCTTGTCTTTGCTGGACTTCCTGTAGGCGAAGCTGGTGCGGTACATCTGCAAGCAGCGGCAGTGCAAGCTGAGCGTGACCCCCAGCGACAGGACTGCCGAGCTCAACAGCTACCCGCGCTTCACTGACTGGCTGTATATCTTCAACGTGAGGCCCGAGGTGGTGCAGGTATGCAGCAAGACCCAGGCCAAGAACAGACAAGAGGGGACAAGCAGGGGTCACATCCAAACCTGAGGACGAGGCTCACATGGCTAAGATATGGGGGCTACATGCTCTGTTCTTGGGAAGGGGGGGTGGTATGGGCTTTGGGGAACAGCAGCATCCAGTAGAAACCCAGAGTATCTGTGGCTACAGCAAGTGCACCATGTGCCAGTGCCTCATAAACTGGGACAGCCTGACCACACTTGTCAATCATTTGATCACATGACAATGACCTTTTCTGAATCCTTGATTCTATGGCAGACATTGTATTTAACATTGACAATGTAACCTTGGGGCTAGAGAGATGGCTCAGAGGTTAAGAGCACTTTTTGCTCTTACAGAGGACCTGGGTTCAGTTCTAGGACCCAGTACCCACAAAGTGGCTTACAACTATCTGTAACTTGAGTTCCAGGGGATCAAATGCCCTCTTCTGGCCTCCACAGTCACCAAGCATACATGTGGTACACACACATACATGCAACAAAACACTCATGCACATAATAAAAGAAAATGAAATGGTTATCTTACTCTGCCCAGAGTTCTATAAAGAGGGTTTTGCCATTCTTCTTATACTCCACTGGCAAGTGGCAGCCAGGGGCCTGGGAAACAAGAATCCGAGCTCAGTTTACTCTCCCCACTGCTGAGCTGTGTTCTTTCTTTTGCGGTTCATCTTTCCATCCATCCATTCTACCCACCCACAACTTACCAGTTAACTAAGCAGTATTCTTGAAGAATGTATCAGGGTCCAGGGCGGCCTCCGTGGAGTTACCATAGCAACCGTGTGAAGCTGTGCCTCAACAGGTCAAGTCTCTAAAATGTAAGCCTAACTCGCTAGTGCTTAAAGCTGAGTCCATTGTGTGCGGGCTCTGAGGAAAACAGAAAAAAGGGACGAATGTCTCGCATAGCCCTGCCACTCAGGAACAAAACAAAACAACCTTTTGAGATTTTGATCCTTTCCCCCCAATGTAAAAATCTTTATAACACTTTTAGGGGGCTCGGAACAGCCAGCCAGGCAGGGCGTCTCATGTGGCTGTAGCTGTACCTTTAGAGATGAGAGCTGTAATCTGAAGCCTGGACACCAAAGAAAGTATAGAGTTACCTTGTGTGTGACGTTTTCTGTCTCCCACATGTTGAAGGAGCAGTCTTTTTTGGACATGTGAGGGTTTATAACATTACTAAAATTAATCTCCTCTGTCATTTGGTGTGGTTGGTTGGTTGGTTTGAGACAGGGTCTTGCTATATAGCCCTGACTGGCTTGGAACTCTGTACCTAGACCACCTGGGTGGCCTCAGGCATGAGGTGGTCCTCCTGCCTCTGCCTCCCAAATGCTGGGTTATAGGTCTGTGTTACCCTGCTCCTGCTTGTATTTCTTATTTTGATTTGTGTGTGTGTCCTTTTCACGTGTGGCCACTCAGATTGGAATGTAACTGTGCTGCTAACCTAGCACGTCTATGGGGCAGCTCCAACTGGGACCGGCTGTGTGCCGCTCACCTAGTATGTTTGTGAGACAGCTCCCATGTCTGTGAGACAACTCCCGTTGGGACCAGCTGTGTACTGCTCACCTAGCACATCTGTGGGGCAGCTCCTGTTAAGATCAGCTATGTACTGCTCACCTAGCACGTCTGTGGGGCAGCTCCCGTTGGGACCAGCTATGTACTGCTCACCTAGCATGTCTGTGGGGCAGCTCCCGTTGGGACTGGCTGATGTAATCTTAGGCTTCGCTCTCATCATTTGGCAGTGAACCCACTGCGTTTTTCTCATGTTTTCACACTTCCGTGTCTTATTTATTGCTTCTTTATTACTGTTTTACAGAGTGGTGTGGTAAGTTATCAGACGAAGGTGAATTCCAGCCTTTGGCTATTAGGTGTGACAGTGACCAGTACTAGCGTGACAGTCTTCATAAATACTTGACAGTTTCCCTGGGAGACATTCCTGAATAGAAAAGGGCCCCAACATAAAGTGTGCCTTGTCCTGTCATAAGGTTGGGGAGCGAGTGGATCCCTGCTCGACTGGCCCAGTTACCCTCATGTGCGGTGTGGTCCACGTTGTAGGCAGAAAGGGAGGGCTGGAATAGGACTGAGGGAAACTGCTCTGTACAACAACCAGTTGCACTCCCGCACACACGTGGGTGCACATGACACACACACAGAGTATAATGAGCTACAACCTCTGTCTGTCTCCTCGCCTACCTCCTCGTTCATCAGTCTTCTACCATACAGGAAGGAGGTTGGGCGTACAATTTGGGCACAGATGTAAGTACATAGACTTGGCAATTGTGCAGAAACAAACTGAGCCACCACCCCAGCCCCCACTGCCACCACCATCTGAATCACACTGTATCTCCTCCATACCCAGGATCTACGTCAGTGACGAGGACAAATGTGTGCATGGTTCAAGTTCAAGGTGCTAGGCTCTAGCCTGTGCCCTTTCACCCCCTTTGTTCTCTGAAGATATACGTGGCAGCTGGTCTTATGCCTCAAAGGACTTCTCTGCAAAAGCCTGAAAAACTGGGAGACTCCATCTTTGGGAGAGGCCCCAGTGTGCCCAGGGCAGTGGGTGGCAGTGTGGAGCGTTGCTGCAGCTGCTGCTGTGGCCCCTGAGAGCTGTGTGATGGCAGCCAGGTTGGAAGCCTGCCAGCCAGGCCAAGTTGTACGAGGCGCTAAGTCAAGCACTGACTGAGTCCTAAAGCCCTAAATGACTCAGCAGAGCTGGGTGCTCAGTAAGCAGTGAACGCCTTGGCTCCAAGGAGCTGATAGACAGCATGGCCTACGGGTAGGTGGATGATGGGAGGCAGGACGCCCCTTTGGGAAGGAGAGCTCTGGAGAACAAGGTGAGGGCGAGAGGACCGGAACACTGCCTGCTGCCTGCGACCTCTCACCTGGAGACATTGGCATCTGAGAAGGCAGCTGCTCCAGCAGAGGCTGCGTCCTGCCCACTTGCATGTGTGGGTGGGTGCCGTCTTCTCCTCTGTCTCCCCACTTCAGTATCTTGTTGGGCAATAGTTAGGATCCTCCTTTCCCACTTATTATCTGCGTGATCCTAAGAAGTTCCCTGTCTCCTTGCATATGTACTCTTATCACAGACACCAGGGACCCCAGCCCTTCCCAGCCCTTCCTCCACCCTGCAGGAGGCGTGGGCCTTCGATGGAGTGGGACACCTCTTACTGTGCCAGATTGGCCCAGGCCATGGACGTGGAAGGTTAAGTAGCATTATCTCCCAGGCCGTTTTGCCCTACCCTTGGATGGAGAGTACAGAGGTCCTGCTGACGCCCTTGTGAAATAACTGCAACTTCAGCATCCCAGCCTGCCACAGGGAGGGTCTAGAGCCTGGCAGCCTCTCCAGAAGGCTGGCTGCATGTCTCTGTGTGGCAATATAGATCCTTCTAGAGAGACCCTGACATTTGACCTGGAAAGAGTCTCATCTGAGGGATACGGACTGCAGAACTCAGCTCCCTAAAGAAACTGTTTCCAGGGCATGGGAGTGTGCACTTCGGACAGGGTCAGTAGCCAGGAACCTGTGGTGGCATCTGCTTTTTGTTCTGGATAGGAATTACACATTCTGTGGCCGCCTGGCTGAAGGTGCCCTCTGAAGGCCCAGGGGGTGTGTGGGGGGGGTGGCTGTTGCTGGAGCTATTCTCCAGTGGGAACAGAACAGTCCTGAGTACTGTTGCTACAGGTGTGCAGGCGCGAGGGCACCCAGAACCCGAGGTGCTGTGGGTGTACTGAGGGCCCTTCATCCTTTGCCACCTATGTATCCCTAAGCAAGTCGCTTTCATCCCTCTGGGCCTTTGTTTACCCTCGTTAGAAATGGCTTAGATAGTTTTCTCAGCCCTTTCCTCCTCAGGCGGGTGTTTGTTTGTTTTAGATTTATTTTATGTGCATTAGGGCTTTGCCTGCATGTGTGTCTGTGTGAGGGTGTCATATCCTGGAAGTGGAGTTAAAGACAGTTGTGAGCTGCCATGTGGGTGCTGGGAATTGAGCCTGGGTCCTCTGGAAGAGCAGCCAGTGCTCTTAATGGCTGAGCCATCTCTCCAGCCCTCAGGCTGGAAGGCCAGAGCAGTAGAGTTGTGTACTGTGAGGTGCTCTGGGAGGCTGTGTGGAGCCATACTGTCCCCTCCCATGGAACCCTCCAAACAGGGGACACTGTGCCTCCTCACTGTGCCTTCTCCAACACTTCAGCCCATTGTCCTTCGGGAAGGACTTCACAATGCTTTCCCACTGGGCTCCTATGTGTCCCGTGGTCAGAGCAGGGACACATCCCCCACCTCGCAACCCCACACCCAAGCTTGTTTCCACCTCACAGGCCCAAGCCAGGCTTCTTCAGTCGTGGATTCTTACAGATCGGCCTTGTGTGTTTTCACCCCTTTAGTGATCAGGGAACTAGTGGAGACCCATGGATACCGATGGGTGCCTTTAAACTGCGTCTCACACAACCCAGCGGCTGGGTTGTGAGGAAGTGAGCACATAGAGGCCTCCCTGTTTCTGTACTCCTAGATAACCGCAGTGCTCACAGTAGGCAGGGACACTGGGCCAGACCTCTCCAGGCTTGCTGCAGTCATTGAGACTGACAGTTCACATTCGTTCCCTTCCTGTCTTTTGTTTGCTGTAATGGGATCACACAGTACGAATTCTGCACGATGTTAGTCTTTTTCTCGCCTTTGTATAAATCCAGAAAATCCACTTGACTTTTTTTTTTTAAACAGCACAATGGTGAGAGAATTCTTTAGGATATCTGACAATGGGCTGGGGCTGCAGCTCAAGGGTAGATAAAGTGCTGCTGCCTGGAGAGTGACCACGAACTCGCCCCAGCCTGCGGATGAAGCTGCAGTGATGGCTAGCCTACTCCGTGGGAGCAGGGACATCCCAGCCAAGGGTAGTTGTTGGGGTCTGCTAGTTAGTTCCCGGCTGCTTAGCCCAGAAATAATCACACAGAAACTGTATTAATTAAATCACTACCTGGCCCTAGTA